TTTGGCTCTCGTGGACTTGTTTTAATTGTCTTTAACTTCAAGTTGAATTTGCATATGAGCAGTTGATGGTCTGTTCCACAATCAGCTCCTGGCCTGGTTTGGCAAGTCTGTAGAGATGAGGAATTAATGTGTTGACCAAAGGGATGGCAGCTATTACTTTTTGGTTTCAGCTGAAAGTTGTAAAGAAAGGGCAAAAAAAAATTCTCCACACATTAATTTTTTTGGGGAAATACAAATGGTGGTTATAACCATTCTTCCCTCCTTAACATTCTAAGGAAGGAATGTGTCATCCTACCTCTCAGACAGACTTTGGACTCAATGTTAAGAGGAAGGTAACAAGATACAGGATATATGAATAGCAGACTTCTGGGAATAAAGTATTTCAATTACCATGGCCCCACACCCCTGGATTTGTTATTTGGATTTCACAGTTCAAATATATATATATGTGAGAGGAGAGTCCAGCAGACTCTCAGTGAGTGACCACACCATCCCTTATAATCGTTCTTATACGGGAATTCAGGACAGCTACAGATGAATAGCTCTTCTCCAAATAGCTCCAAGAAGATGGATCTCCAGGTGAGTTATTTCTCACCACTTTCAGACCTGAACTTTGTGTTTGCTGTAGTTTGGAAACCGTACATAATTTTCCTCTCATAACTAAATGGTAACTTGCTCGCTTCCCCGTTTTTACTTAATACAGCCTTTATGTAATCTGACCATTTCCTTTTCTGCAAGCTACCCCTGCTAGATGCTGACAGTCTTTATTTTTGTCACTGTTGTTTATAAACATCATTTATGAGCTTTCTATAAGCAAATTAAGGAGCTCTGGTGGTGCAGGGTCTAAAATATTAGCCAACCAGAAGTTTGGCATTTCAAACCCACGTGCTGCTCTGCTGAAGGAAGATAGGACAGTCTACTTCCATAAACATTTACCACCTTGGAAACCTAATAGGAGTCGCTATGAATCGGAATCAACTTGATGGCAGCAAATTGGTTTTTTTGTTTGTTTTTTTAAATGAACAACATACTGAGATCATCTTAACACTAGTGTGGCCCTGCCATTTGAGGTGTCAAACTCAAATTAAGCAGAGGAACACACAGGAGGAAATGTAAATTCACAATGTGAAACATACAATGTGAATTCCCGTTGGATTCATTAGGGTACAGCAAACATTCTTTTTCCTTCTGTTCCTGTCATTGGTTCTTTTCTAGCATTAATCATTCCTGTGCTGGTGGGAACAGACAGACATTGCAGTGTAATAACATAGTAACATATGTGTGATATAACTGAGAGCTTGCTTTCTGGGGGTATTTGATTACTGAGGCCCTCTTGGCTAAATTGTAACCAGAAGATTTGCATCCTTCCTGCTCTTTTCAGTATATCATTCTTATGTATTGCTTTATGTTCCCTTTCTTTGAATCTGTTGAAGCTGTTTGGGAGAAGTGGTGGTTTATTGTTAGAATTCTCACCCTCCATGTGGGAGACTCCGGTTGGATTCCCAACCAATGAATCTCAGGTGCAGCCTCCTTTTGTCTGTCAGTAAAGGCTTATGTGTTGCCATGATACTGAACAAGCTTCAGCAGAGCTTCTAAGCTAAAACAGACTAGGAAGAAAGGCCTGAGTATCTACTTCCTAAAATCAGCCAGTGAAAACCTCTTGGACACAAAGGTCTGGTCTGCAACTAATCATGGGGATGAAATAGGACCAAGCAGTGTTTTCTTCTGTTGTACAGGGGGTTGCTATGAGTTGGAATCCTGCTCATTAGCTGCTGGTAACACTGGGACTGGAAATCCAAGTTTTTGTCTGATTCCCTTCACTGGGGTTATTGCAGAATGTGACAGCTCCCCTACATACCTCCATCCCCAGCATCTCCCCTGTAGGGATCCTAGAGGCACACTCACTGTGCTCCCCTCTACCTGCTGCAGTGACCAGACTCAATAACAGGTACCTTCTTATGTATAGCTCTGTGCTATCTTCGCTGTTATTTTACACCCTTGTTCTCAACTCCTCTCATTCCCTTATTTTGATTTTTCTCTCTTTTTTTTAATCTCATCACAGCTGGAGATTTGGCAAATGAACTCGTTCGGCACTTTTTGATTGAGTGTACCCCAAAGGGAGTGCGGTTGAAAGGGTGCCCCAATGAACCATACTTTGGTGAGTTAACTGAGAGGTGCCTTCTGTGCTCTGAACAATGACGCAAAGCTCCCTGTGCTCTCTAACAAGATTAGTGACCCTTCCTTGGGTGAGCTTTCACTCACAAAGTTACTTTTTGTCCCCAGTTCGACCTCTGATCTGAATTATTTTCTGAAATAAACTGGATGTAGAATCTTTCAAAAAAGATTACACTGAGCTTCTGTTAATGGTGATAGAGAAATTTGGGAACAGATAACTAAGATGGTTGCAAAACATAAACACAAATTGATACCACTGAACTGTATATGTGAAGAATATTGGAATGGGAAATATTTTGTTATATGTACCACGATATGAAAAAAAAAGTAAGGAGAAGAAAATAAGAGAAAGCAAAAACTAAGATTTTAAGTACAGACTACGAGATACTATTCCAGTAGGCACTCAGAAGTGGCTTAACAGAGAGATTAAGGTTTAGAATGATGTGTTCCCTCCAACAGCATAGACAGGCAAAAACTCTCTAGCATCCATCTGCCTTTGTAAAAGGAGAACTGTCCCTTCCTTCCAGGTTTGTTGGAAGACTAAATGGCCTCGCCCATTTGAATCATACTGTGGACAAAAAGCATTGTCCCAATTCCATCCCTTTAGAAGCTTGCATGGATGTTGAATGTGTTTGGAGCTGGAATTGTCTTGATTTTAGACCTTCTGGTTTCAGTTTCAGAAAACTTTGGTTTATTTCTCATAATGTGGTAATGATGTATATATGCCTAAGAGTTATCTGTAGTTTCCTTTACTTCCCCCTCAACTGTTTTTTTTTTTTTAACTTGCCACTTCAGTGAGCTTTAGCCCAAGGTAGACTTTATTGGAAATTTAATTGCTACAAATATAAGGGCTTACCTTTTGAAGTAGTTTCATTTTAGCTTATGACTTGGCTGAGCAGTACAGTATTTACTGTGATCTCATCTGGGAGCTATAAGGACAACTTTCTTGAGGATCAGTTAGGAACTTTTGCTTAGAGCAGGGTAGAGGAGTGGGGGCCTCTCTTCTGGCAATAAGGTGGTAACTAAAATTCTCTGAATTAGTGATGGCAGAGCTGGAGAACAGCTCTCAGAGGTTCTTTCCCTGAGAGAGCTTAACAGGACCCCAAAGTAACTCACAGAGATTACACTATACATTCCTTTCCCAGGGAGCTAGAAGGAGTTCCATAGGTGTATAAATTTTTCCAATTAATAGAAAACTGTTCTGGGAATACAGATATCTAATGATAGCTTTTCCACTTGCCTCTAGCTAAGTGTCTGGTTGGGCCAGTATTTCACTGATAGTCTTCATCTGTCTGTAAGAAAGGATCCCCAATCATGGCCTCAGAGGGACTAACTGTCCTGATTTTAGGCATGATATTAACTGTTGAGATCTTAAGCATGCTATCCTGTATGTGTCTGTGTGTTTGTATGTGTGTGAGTGAGAGGCAGGGGGCAAGTGGAGGGAAGTCTATGAAACTGCTAACTTACATTTAACTGCAGGATGTAGCTGTGAATTTGAATTATTTATCCCTTGATACTGTCTATAGTAGTATCTTTCCAGAAAAAAGTCAGGAGAGAATATTGTAGTTAAAGTTAAGAACAACACACTTAAGATGTTTTCTTTGTTCCTTTTATTATATACTTTTTTCATAGTATTGTCTATAAAGTATAATTTTTAACAAAATGAACTTTCTAAAGTTCTTACCATACCACAGTGTGAATGACCCTACTGGTTAGTCCATACTTTGTAGTGCATCTCAAAACTACATTACCTACAACACTGAGTGAGTATAAAACATCTCACATAGCATAGACCATCACACACAGTATATAACCATATGTAACCAAATGTAAGTAGTTTTTGGTAGGGGGATCTGGCTCACCAAGTCAGGGTTACAAATCTGGAGGGAAGTATTTAAAACAGCTGATACATATGGTAAGTCCCCTCTGAATAATGCAAGAATATGAGGATGGATTGATATGCTGCATGTAGATCATCCTTTTCTAAAGTGGGATGTGGAACAATACACCCAGGGAACACAAGCAGATGCTTCTTAAGGTAGGAGTCAGCTATTGGGGTGAGAGGTGGGAGTGAGCATTTCATAGGCTAGTGTGAGCCATGATCTCCAAAGGCAAGGACGTATGTGACAACCTTGTAGCTCTTCTCCCAGATGAACTTCACTGGGCACCCATGTTGCTGATACATACTTGACTGCTAACCAGAAGGCTGGTAGTTCAAACCCACTAGCCACTCCTCGGAGGGAAGGTTAGGCAATCTACTTCTGTAGTGATACTGCCTTGAAACCCAAGGAGGGGTTGCTATGAGTTGAGTCTGACTGGACGGCACATAACGACAACAACAAATGTTGGATTTAATGACTTGTCCCAGGATTGCCTAAACAAACATCATATTTTTGTTTGTTTCTCTTTTTTTATTATTTAAAACACTTGGCAAGAATAGGGAATCAAAGTACCACGGTTATCAGATAGTGTTTGGTATATTTTTGCAAAACTGGTACACTCTTTATGAGTTCAGAGCTGATGCTAACTCTCTTTTTCTGTTCTTTCCTCTGGCAGGGAGTCTGACGGCTTTGGTGTATCAACATTCAATCACCCCTTTGGCCTTGCCCTGCAAACTTCTCATTCCAGACAGAGGTAAGGATGTCAGGACTTTACTGCTGCCTTTAGCTCTCTCTGTAAGATCATCTGCTCTTGCCAAAGGCACACTGGTTTCAGGGATCCAAAATGATCCATTGAGAAAAGATCAAACCTGAGGCTTTTTTCTACACATACTGTGTGTAAACCCAAGAAACAGCAGAATATTTACCCAAATGAGGAGAGAAAAGGAGGCCCTGGCTGCACCCAGTCACACACCTCTCACCTTCACCCCCACCTTCCACCCCAATCTCCTGTACATATCATGGGCTTTGGTGAGAAGTTTCTGTGGGGTAGAGTATGTAAATAAAATATAACACACTCGGACTGAAGAGACCTCAGGGTCATTTTAATTTTAATGCTTAGGATTCTACAAAATCAGCAAAATGTTGATATTTTTAACTTAGGTGATGGAGGAACTGTTCTCTTTACTATTGTTTGAAAATATCCATAGTAAAAAATTTGATTGTATGTCCCAGGTTTCCTAGGTAGTCCCAGTTTCCATAATTTTATTGTTTTCTGTAAGGATAATTAATTAAAAATATAAGTAAATGAATTTACCTTTTAAAATGTATTTAATTATGTATATAAATAAATTCAAAAGTCATAAAGATATTTTTCTCTGGTGGCATAGTGCTTAAGGCATTTGACTGTGAACCAGAAGGTTCACGGTTCAAACTCACCAGCCTCTCCATGGAAGGAAGAATGGGCAATCTACTTCTGTAAAGATTCACTGCCTCAGAAACCCAATGGGGGTTGCTCTGAGTCAGAATCGACTCGTAGTGAGTCAGACTCCCTGCCAAAGGAAAGAAGAGAAAAAGAGAGTTAGCGCCAGCTCTGAACTCATAAAGAGTATAGTGAGTAGTGAGTTCGGGTTTAATTTTTGAGTTAAAGATATTTTGTTGGACCATGTCATCAATAATTTTGTTCAGAAATGTGATGATAACTTCTATGGAGTATATCATTATCACTAAGAGAACCTTCCAACTATGTAAAATCAGTGCATGTCACTGTCTAGGAGTTCTATCATAAAAATTGTCTACTTTGTTACGAAGGTTCTTTATCAGTGAGCAGGACTCACCTCTTTGTTTTCTTGTTCCTTCCTTCCTGCAGATCCATTGGAGGAAATAACAGAAAATTCTCCCCAAACAGCTGCCAACTCAGCAGCTGAGCTGTTAAAGCAGGGGGCAGGTCAGTAGATGTAGCCTCATTTTTCATGTCTCCTTTAGTTATTAGCACCAATGATTTTGCAGACAAATGATGCCATAACACAATTTTCTGTTTTACTTTCATCATTCAGGTTTCCCATGACTCTTTCCCTTCTTTTCTCTGTGTTTGAAGGAAGTTTCCTTTTCTAGAAAATTCATTCAGAGCTGGGTGGAGTGGTAACTTTCAGGTGACCAAAGCTGGACTCCCTAAGCTAGAAATACTGATATGAATCTAAGAAGATATAATTCAGGGAGCAAATGTCAAGTCTTGTATTTAGTTTAGGGAAAATGTAATGATATAGGACGTGGGTGACCTGACTTGCCAGCTGTAAACCTAACAATATTCAAGAGATGTGACTCAACAAGGCTGACAAACTGTCACTATGAGTCACAACAGTTTGACCCACACTACTGGTAAACCAAAATGCACCCAGCCCCAGTGGCTCTGGACCCGAGAGCCAACTGCCAGCCTTCTTGCTTTCCAGACATCATCTTGCTTCTGGGGCATTTAGCACAGGTCTAGTGACCTCAGTGTAAGCGGCTAGGGAGAAGCCAGAGATATTAGGTCACCTCTAGGTTGGCAGACTGAGTAAGGGCATAGCTGGAGATGATGGATGAACTGTTCTCTTTACTTTTGTTTATTTGAAAGTATCCATAATAAGAAATTTGACCATATGTCCCAGCTTTCCTAGGTAGTCCCGTCCCAATTTCCACCAACCCACTAGTTTTGAACACTGTGTCACCTATCCCCCACAAAAAAAGGTATTTCATACAAGGGAGCACATTTCCTGTCAGAGATGTTGGCAAAGGAATTTCTAAGTCAGCTGGAAGATTGGAATAGAAATATTTCCATTCTCCACCTCATATATATGTAGTAATTTATAGCTATAACTCCTTGGATGGCGGTATATACAATACACAAATATTTTCTTATTATTCCCTGTGTAAAAATTGGATTATTTTTCTATGTAATCTTTCTGTGTAAAATTATAGCTCACTGTGCCTGTTACCTAGCTGAAGTAGAATGACTGAATTTGAAAGGAATGTTTATAGTGTTGACCTCTTTTAAGAACCTTCTTAGAAGGCAAGTTTGGGTCACAGGGCTATGAGGATTAGTTGTAATTGTTTAGAAAAAGTACAGAAACAACTATTGTAGGAAGATAGTTGAGATCACTTCAAGTAAATTGTTTTTTTCTTTTTATATATTTTTTTAAAAAACTAAATTTCATTAGTTGTCCTAATCTACTTAGAATCCTAGACTTCTGGACTTGCAAAGGTTCTTCAAAATTATTTCATCTAATTTCCTCATTGCAAAGACTGAGGAAACTGAGACTAATAAAAATTAAGTAAATTGGAGAGTTTACAAAGGTGGAAATAAACTTTTAATTCTATTCAGTTTAATCCCTTTTCATTTGATATTAAGGGCATGATGGTTTATTCTAATCTCTGAAACAATTTCTTTTTATGGTTCAAGCCTTAGTTCTTAATTAGTTCTTGTTGAAGCAAAGGAATGTAGTGTAATCATCAAAAAAAAAAAAAAAAAAAAGGCATTTCTACCAGACTTCTGATAGATATCCCATAACTTTGTGGTTGTGTTTTTAACTTAAAATATTTTAGAGTATATTTTATTTGCAAAAGTAGTATGCATTCTTGCTACACAAAATCATTGTTCCACATCCTACTTTGGCAAGTAGTAACTGGGATCTTAAAAGCTTGCAAACAGTCATCTAGATGCAACGAAGGGTCTCTCCTCATCAGAGCGAAGAAGAATAAAGAAAACCAAAGACACATGGAAACAATTAGTCCAAGGGACCAGTATACCATGCAGTCCTCAGTCTATATGACTATGAGACCAGAAGAACTAGTTGGTACCTGTCTACCACTGTCAGCCACTCAGAGGGGATCTATGTAGGAGATCCTGGGTAGAGTGGGAGAACAATGTGGAACAAAACTCAAAATCATTAAAAAAAAACGAAGGACCAGTTTTGCTGGTCTGATAGAGCCTTGTGGAACCCTTAAGCCTATGGCCTCTAGCTGCCCTTGAGGTCTGGAATTGAACCACTCCTCTGGCTTCCAGACAAGCGTATAAGCTGAATATTGATAGTAGGGTAAATACACTCCTTAGAGAGATCAATCATGTGAGACTAGAAGGGTTGTGTATGCACAGGGAAACAGCTCGGGGATCTGTAGTGCCCGAGAGGGAAGGACACAGGGAATTGGTAACTAAGGGAAGGAAGTGGGAAGAGAGAGCTCTTGCATTGTGCGAAATTGCAGTCAATGTCATGAGACAAAGTATATGTGAACTACTGTATGAAAAATTAATTTTCTCTGTAAACTTTCACCTAAATCTCAATAAAAAATTTTTTTAAAAAAGTAGTAGCATTCTTTGAATTAAAAAAAAGGAAAATACAGAAAAGAAAGGAAAAACTGAATTACCCAGAGACCTGTTACCTATATACTACCACTGAACATTGGAAAGAAGGTCTCTCACTCAGATTACCAAACCTAATGTAAAACAAGTTACTTTATATATCACTTTTCCCCTCATGCTTGTAATCATGATGCATATAGAACTCTCTTATATTCTCCTTTTTTCACTTAATATACTAAGTATATTGTTGTTGTTGTTGTTACATGCCGTCGAGTCGGACGCGACTCATAGAGACTCCTCCTTGGGTTTCCGAAGCAGTATCACTACGGAAGTAGATTGCCCCATCTTCCTTCCGAGGAGTGGCTGGTGGATTTGAACCACCAGCCTTCTGGTTA